CTGGCTGCTGGAAGCGTGGACGTGGACCCGCCACACCACGGCAGAGGCGTAGCTAGGTGGGGGGGGGGGGCATGGGGGTACATATGTCCCCGGGCGCCAAGGTTAAGGGGCGCCAAAATTAGGCTTACAACGTCACATTATAACTTATTGCGGCGGGCGCGGCAGCCTGAAACTACTGCACAAATCTACACCTGAACCTAAAAGTTTATATATCCCGCCACACACAGCCTGCATGTCATGTAATTACATTTTGGTATGTGATTAAACGCCACTGCACCACGGTGACCGACTCGCGTGGCCGATGCCACTCAGCAATCAACCGAATGTGTACATCTGGTCGTTCGAAAAAAAATGTGTGTACTGTAATAATGTCCGACGTTTCGCGCCACTTGTTTGGAATATGGCTCGGGAACTGGATTAACATTCAACTGAACTCAATTCACTTGCTGAACGAGATTCCAGCACGTGCAGCAAAACGTCAGACATCGCGTTGAACAAAACACGCAAATAGAGCAACGTTAACTCGCTTCCCCTATTCGAGAATTTCACTTTTCGGTGGATACCTAAGAATTGCAGGAATTGTCAATATCTGGCCCATGGCTGGCCCATAGCTGGTACATATCTGGCCTATATCTGGCACATAGTTGAGCCACAGCTGGCCCATAGCTGCCACATACCTGGCCCATGAGCTGATACATCGGTGGCCCATAGCTGCCACATAGTTGGGCCATAGCTGGCACATAATTGGGCCATAGCTGGGACATAATTTGGCCATAGCTGGCCCATTGCTGGTACATAGCTGGCCCATAGGTGGTTCATAGCGAGCATATACCTGGCCCATAGCTGACACATAATTGGGCCATAGCTGGCCAACAGCTGGCCCATAGATAGCACATAGCTACCATATACCTGTCCCATACCTGGCACATAGTTGGGTGATAGCTGGCACATAGTTGGGTGATAGCTGCTGCATAGCTGGCCCATAGCTGGGACATAGGTGGCACATAGTCGGCCCATAGCTGGCACATAGGTGGCCCACAGTTGGCACATAGTTGGACCATAGCTTCCGCATAGCTGGCCTATAGCTGGCCCATAGCTTCCACATAGCTGGCCCATGGCTAGCTCGCCAGCTCCACGGTTGTTCTGGCACTTACAGCCGCATTGTACAGTCCAAGCTCTCGGGACAATGTCACACAAACTACGCACTGTTGCGAAAAGCGATAGAATCAACATTTCTGTGCACTGTGCGAGCTGTCACAGAGATAAGCATTAACTAAATAATTATTAAATCACGCTCGGCCCCTTTTTTTGCCGAATCCACGTCGAAACGAATGCCACTCAATGCCATGCACTGCGGGTCACGTGAGCTGTTTGATCATACTTCACCACGCCCGGTCAGTGCGGTGTTGGCAAAGCGGAGGGCTTCATCTTCTTGGTTCTTTCGGTAAAGTCACGTAGAAGGGAAGTAATAAAATAATAAAAATAAAACATAATAAGATAATTCTCACGACGTTTCGGCCACAACGCAAGCAGCCGTCCTCAGGCGAAGAACAGGTCTGTCGAGAAGACAGAGTCTGAATGACAACCCCAGGCTTGGAGCATCTTTTTTTAAATTATTTTATTACTTCCCTTCTACGTGACTTTACCGAAAGAACCAAGAAGATCTTAAAGACCACAACGCTGCATGAATCAACCAACAGCAGGGCACAGCAGGGCACGGCACTGCACGCCTGCGCTCCACGCATCGTACCCATCAGCATGAATGGGATTCGCCACCAACACGTGACTGAGTGTGGCTGGCCTGTCTGCCATGAGCCAGTGAGTGAGGTGGGGGGTGGTGGGACCACGTGGGTTCCCCCCCCCAGACCCCCCCCCCCTCCCAACACCCCCCCCCTCCCCCACCTCTCCGCCCAGTCTCGCGCCGAGCGCACGCGAGGGAGCGGTCACGTGGTCGCGCCTGCGGCTAATCAGCGCGCGCGCACGCGCCCACTCCCCCCCTCCCCCACAACGTTGGTGAGGGGCGGGGCTTTGAGATGGGGGGGGGGCGGGGCTTGCTTGGAATGACGGTTTGCCCCGCCTGCATCCCGAAGGCGGGAAACCCCCAACAAGCCATAATATTTCGATTTAAAGCTTTTGTGACTGCAGGGATTCATCTTCTTGGTTCTTTCGGTAAAGTCACGTAGAAGGGAAAGAATAAAATAATAAAAATAAAACATAATAAAATAATTCTTGCTTGTGTTGCAATCACCTGATGATGATTGCTTGTGTTGCAGTCGAAACGTCGTGAGAATTTTTATTGTTTGATATTTTTATTATTTTAGTATTTCCCTTCTACGTGACTTTACCAAAAGAACCAATAATATGAATCCCTGCAGTCACAAAAGCTTTAAAGCAAATACAATTTTTTTTTACCTTACCAGGTAAAGCCCATTGAGGTAATAACTTATTTTTAAGAAGCGATCTGGTCACAAATGATAGCTCTACAAAGTGGCTAATGATGTGGAAATAATCAAAATAATCTCAATGAATGACCATTGCCCCGAAACGTCGCCGATAAAACATCTGTTTATGGCAGTGGTATACTGGTAGGAACCTCCTGGTTACACCAGGCCACAGGGGATTATTGTGTCCGTCGTGCAGGGAGGGGCTGGGTGGGGAGGGAGGGACTGGGTGGGGAGGGGAAAGGAGGGTGGGGAGGGTGGGGCTTGGTGGGGAGGGGATGGTGGGGAGGGTGGGAAGGCAATGGTGGGAAGGGTGGGGAGGGGCTGGGTGGGGAGGGTGGGGCTGGGTGGGAGGTGGGAGGGGTGGGGCTGGGTGGGGAGGGGCTGGTCACCCCGTGGTGCCCGTATAAAACTCAACGTTTAACCTACTCACGCCGGCTTGTGCCCGCCCTCACAATCGGGCATATTTGCGGAATACACCACGCCGCCGTTGACCCTGGCCATTGACCGAGCAATCCAACGTTCCTACCAGCTCCCTCCGCAGGAATGTGTTTGACGAATGGGTTGAGTTTGCGTTATTTGTGCGTATGCTGGACTGCCAACGTAGAGCAAGCATCACCAAATAAGTTTCCAGATATTATCGACACGGACGCTCTCCGTTAAGATTATTTCGATGAATTTAGATTATTTTGGTGCGATAAATGTCCAAATGATTGGGGCCACTTTGTTGAGATATCATTTGTGGCCAGATCGCTTCTCAAAAAATATAAGTGAATGTCTCAGTGGGCTTTGCCTGGTCGGATGGGGATGGTTGAATGTTGTATTTGTTTGTGTTTGGCTGATTTCGATAAAACCACGTGGCTTTACCGAGAGATCCAGGCATATGAATCCCTGCAGTCACGAAAGCTTTAAATCGAAATTTGTCTGATTTGTTTATCTTTCTTGTACTTTGCACTCCGATCGTGCTTTTGTAACTCTTCTTGTAACGTTTTTACTCCGTGCCCTTACTGGACATCTGTGAAAAAAAAGAGTTTTATAGCTTATCGGATCAGATTCTTCCTGCAGTTATAAATACAGATTCCGATTCTTCTGATATGGGTCCCAGGTCGAGAAGAAGGGGAGTGGTTTAAATTTCACGAACTGGCGGTGATGTAACCACGGCGCTTGTGCCAGACTAGGTGCACGTGTAAAAGGACAGACCCAGGTGCCACGGGTTGAGTGACCGAGCCGACTGGCAGATGCATCACCTGTGCCCCCCCCCCCCACCACTGTGCCAATACGCTGCGTTCAACCCGCCCGGCGCTCCGCTCATTGTTGATGTCCAATTTTCATATTCTTAGGTTTTTTCGGTAAAGTCACGTAGGTAAAACATCAAAATTAATACAAATAAAATAAAGATCACGACGTTTCGGAGGCAACACAAGTCTCCGTCTTCAGGTGGGACCGTCACAGCCAGATTAGCTGCTGTGACGGTCCCACCTGATGACGGAGACTTGTGTTGCCTCCGAAACGTCGTGATCTTTATTTTATTTTATTAATTTTTATGTTTTACCTACGTGACTTTACCGAAAAAACCTAAGAATATGAATCCTTGCAGTCACGAAAGCTTAAAATCTAGAATTGTTGCTGTCCGTCCGCTGTTGTTGGGGAGGGCAAACAGCGTCCAACTTCCATGTCGCCTCCTCCAAGACCCTCCTGCTCCTCCACAGAGGCCGATCTTGGCTCCGTTTCTCCTCCACCCACCCACCTCCACCCACTTCCACCCACCCACTTCAGCAATATTTAGCTGTCTTTTCTTGGATTTTCTGTTTGCACTCACTCACATATTCACTTTAAGATTTTTTTTTGTTCATTTTTTTTGTTTTAAGCGGTTGCACCCGATTCAAGAGCCGAATGGCTCACAGGGCTACACCTAATACATGAACTTGAACTTCTCTGTCCGGCCAAACAGAATCAGCTTGGGCCACACGATATGCGGGCTACGTGACCCACAGCCAAACCCCGTCGCCTGCGTGGCCCCCACCCCACCCCCCACAGCCCCCGCCCGACGCCCCGCCCCCTTCACGTAGCCCCGCCTCCTGTCCTTCTCTCGTCCCCCACCTCCACCAATCCCGATCAGCCCCCGTCTCTTCGCTCACCAGCCCCTCCCCTCCACTTTCTAGCCCCGCCCCTTACATCGCTTCCTAAGCCACGCCTCCTCGCTCTATGGCACCGCCCCCTTTTTCTCGGGCCCCGCCTCCACCAATCGCTGCCGTTGCAGCCGGAAACCAAACCCGGTTAGCCCCGCCCCTTCCACCCCTCGCCCCGCCCCTCCACTTTCTAGCCACGCCCCTTACATCTCTTATTAAGCCACGCCTCCTCGCTCTATGGCACCGCCCCCTTTTTCTCTGTCCCCGCCTCCACCAATCGCTGCCGTTGCAGTCGGAAACCAAACCCGGTTAGCCCCGCCCCTTCCACCCCTCGCCCCGCCCCTCTCCTTTCAAGCCACGCCCCTTCCACCCCTCGCCCCGCCCCTCCCCTTTCAAGCCACGCCCCTTCCACCCCTCGCCCCGCCCCTCCCCCCGCTGCCGTTGCCTCCTCCCTCCTCCCCCATTAGAACAACGACAACGAAGACGAGAGGACAAACATCGGCTGCGAGCCGCTCTCCTCCATCCGTCGTGACGCCCATCGCCTTCCCTCCCCCCCCCAGCAGCAGCAGCAGCCGCCGCCGCCTGCATAGCGATGCCGAAGAGAAAGGTGCGTGCCTCTGGGGGTTGTTGTTGTTGTTCTTCTCGGGCGGGTGGGTGATGGCGGTGGTGGTTGACGGCCTCGGCGGCTGTGGTGGTGATGGTCGCTTGAGGAGAACGGCGGCGGGCACTCTCGCCCGTCGGCCATGTTACTAAGCTTCGCCTCGGCCTCGTCTCCTCCTCCTCGTCGTCCTCGTCGTCTCCTGTCGCGGCTTCTCCTCAGCGCCACGTTTGGGCCGTGGCGCTCTTTTTGTCGTCGTCGTTGAAAGTCGCTTGCGCGCGGTTTTGCTGCGACGGTTGTTGTTGTTGTTGTGGTTGTGGTGGTTGTTGTTGTTGGGAGTTTTAATTAACGGTGGCGGGTTTGGTTGGTGTTTGTTGGCGATGGGGTTGTAGAGAATAACAACACTGGCCCACCTCGGCTGCTTTGCTCTCATCAGCGACAGCTTAACGAGCCACACGCTAGGGTGGTGAGGGTGGTGGTGTGGGTGGTTGGTGGTGGTTGTGGGTGGTGGTTAAGGGTGGTTGGTGGTGGTGGTTGAGGGTGGTTGAGGGTAGTTGTGGGTGGTGGTGGTTGAGGGTGGTGGTTGAGGGTGGTGGTGGAGGGTGGTGGTGGAGGGTGGTGTGGTGGTGGTGTGGGTGGTTGTGGGTGGTGGTTGGGGTGGTGGTTGAGGGTGGTGGTTGGTGGTGGTTGGGTGGTGGTTGGGGTGGTGGTTGGGGTGGTGGTTGAGGGTGGTGGTTGAGGGTGGTGGTTGAGGGTGGTGGTTGAGGGTGGTGGTTGAGGGTGGTGGTTGAGGGTGGTGGTTGAGGGTGGTGGTTGAGGGTGGTGGTTGAGGGTGGTGGTTGAGGGTGGTGGTTGAGGGTGGTGGTTGAGGGTGGTGGTTGAGGGTGGTGGTTGAGGGTGGTGGTTGAGGGTGGTGGTTGAGGGTGGTGGTTGAGGGTGGTGGTTGACGGTGGTGGTTGACGGTGGTGGTTGACGGTGGTGGTTGACGGTGGTGGTTGACGGTGGTGGTTGACGGTGGTGGTTGACGGTGGTGGTTGACGGTGGTGGTTGACGGTGGTGGTTGACGGTGGTGGTTGACGGTGGTGGTTGACGGTGGTGGTTGACGGTGGTGGTTGACGGTGGTGGTTGACGGTGGTGGTTGACGGTGGTGGTTGACGGTGGTGGTTGACGGTGGTGGTTGACGGTGGTGGTTGACGGTGGTGGTTGACGGTGGTGGTTGACGGTGGTGGTTGACGGTGGTGGTTGACGGTGGTGGTTGACGGTGGTGGTTGACGGTGGTGGTTGACGGTGGTGGTTGACGGTGGTGGTTGACGGTGGTGGTTGACGGTGGTGGTTGACGGTGGTTGAACGTGATGTGCGTGGTGGTTGAGGTTGTTGGTGTGTGTGGTTGTGGTTCCACGTGTCGGAAAGCAAAAAACAACATCGCAAACCCACGGGCCAGAGCCGTCAAATCCACTGCTGGATGAAGGCTGCGTCGTGACGATAAACTTCACAAAACCCGCGGTATTCTTGTCCCGTCAGATTGAGTTTTAACCCGCAAAAAACGTGTATTTTTTGCCTGTCGATTTGTGTGTATGGCGCACTTCTCTTCCCTTGCGATGGGACTCTGTAGAATGAAGGATTGCGATTTCTAAGAGGCACGGGGGGGGGGGGGGTCCATTGGTCTGTAACAAGGTAACAAGCTTACGAATCGCCACTTTGTGAGGTTACCGAATGTGTTCTTGCCAACCTTGTTTGTGAGAAATAAAAGCGACTCCGAACGCCCCGTGGTTGGTTTAAAATGCACGTGTTCAATGCAACTGTTTGAGCACTAGTTGCACTTTGTGGTGTGCAACTAAGGAAAGGGGGGGGGGGTGCACACACCAGAGTGTTTTACGAAGTGCAATCGTGTCTGCGGTGCTGTGGATTTTTTTTTGGTTTTTTTTTTTACGCAACGGCTTCGCGAAGTGGCATTGCTTCAGAGTTAGCAGGGGCAAGGTCATCCAGCAGTGGATGAATGCAATGGGGGGCTGCGTGCCGACACACTGCACATGTTACATGGTGTTGTTGTAGTATTATGTAGTTGTAAGACGAATTGCAATAGCGGAGGGCTTGCAAATGTGGCACGACTGTTGTTACCTGCGAGGTGGTGCTGGTTTGTCAAACCTTCTTGCTGAGTGAGCCACGCGCGGAATTGATTCCTGTCCACGTGAGAAGTCGTGTTTGGTTAAAAGTTACACAACTTGTAGGGTTTCGTTATTAAAGTACACGACGCGTGGTTGCTACTAGTGTTTTTTTTGTAATTCTGACCGCAAACATTGGCGTGTTTAATGATGATAATAAGCGCGTACCGGTGATGTGACGTGAGGTTGCCGTGGCTGGTTTCCATTGTTTCCATTACGCGTGCAGACAATACGTTTTAAACAAAAACCTTATTGGTTTTAAGTGCAATTAAATATGATTGTTAATCCACTTGTATTTGAACTTCATTATTGACTGAAACGAAAGGGGGAGTCTGGACTTCAGCCCTAACGCGACACTGCCGAGTGTTCAAACGCGTCGGCATGATCATATATTTGTTGTTGTTTATTGAGTAGTCATTTATCGTCATTTGCGTTGCCGTTTGATCTCTTGTTTTCCCCTCCTCGGTCTTTTGATGATGTGATCTGGTGAAAGTTGTTGCTTCAAGTGCGGTGCGCTCAGCTGCCGTGATGTTTACTTGTTTTTGCGCGCGTGTTTCAAAACTCGAACTTAGCGAAGTTAATTCTTCGTGTTGCACTTACAACAATAGCAACAATGTCGCGGCCACCTTTTAAACTCAATGCATCGATGCATTGTGCACAAGTCGTATGTTGTGGGATGATACAGCTTCGGAACGGTGGCCACGAGAAAATATGAAAGAGGTTTTTTTCGGTAAAGCCACGTAGATAAAAATTTGAATTTTATTGTAATTTTTATCTACGTGACTTTACCGAAAAAAACCTAAGAATATGAATCCTTGCAGTCACGAAAGCTTCAAATCTAGAATTAATATGAACGAGTTTAACGTTGCGTTTGTGTGCAAAATTTGCAATTGCGTTTGTGTGTTCATCGCAGACGTTTTGTGAAATAGCTTAATTGATTGCTCGATGTTAATGGCCTTTATTGAACACTGTAAATGCCAGGCTTATTTGTAACGTGGATTAGTTTTTTGTGTGCGCGTTATGTTTTTGGTGGGGATTAGCAACCTAATAATCTAATAGGTTTACCATCCTCTTAAAAACCTACGCGGGAAACGGCGGCGTCCGGGGGTGGCTTGCAAACGAAAATGGGGTTATAGCTTTTAAAACCCGAACAGGTAAACGAGTCTTTTTAAGTGTTCGGCAGACAACTTTCTGCAACCGTAGAGTCCACCAGAGCCTTCAGAAATATAAAGTTACGGTACCATAAAAATACTCGTGTGTATCGCCTTTTTAAAAAAAGTTTAAACTTGGACTCCGGACACAAGAGGCCAATAACCCTCTCGGTTTTGCGGCGTATCTATTAATAGAAAAACGCTGCCCGCGGAGGTAAAACCTCTGGTCTGGCATTGGCCGAGCGAGGCTGGAGAGCGACGGAGGTAAAACCTCTGAGCCTGGCACCACGAGAGCCGAGGCCTCTGCCTCCGGAGGGAAAACCTCTGGGGCTGGCAAGGCAGCCGGCGACGCCGTTCGAGAACGTTCCCGGGCGCGGTCCCATTGGCCGCGTTCGAAAAAGTGCGCGCCTACGTCACGCCGGCGGCGACCAATGGGAGGCTTTCCCGCCAACGCTGACGTCACGCGCGCATGTAAACACGGGGTGACGGCTCTGCCACGGTCACTCCACTGTTGGATGAGAATTATTATTTGGTTCTTTCGGTAAAGTCACGTATCAGGATGAAATAATAAATTAAATACTAGCATACGACGTTTCGATTGCAACATAAGCAATCATCAGGTATAAATTAAATAATGTAATTTATAATAATTTAATTTATACCTGATGATTGCTTGTGTTGCAATCGAAACGTATGCTAGTATTTGATTTAATTGATTATTTTATCTTGATATGTGACTTTAGCGAAAGAACCAAAGAATAATTCTTGCAGTCACGAAAGTTCCAACTTAAGTTTGGATGAGAATCGTAATGCTGTGTTTAGACTGGAGGAATCCGATGAGCTGTAAAGCTCTTTAACAAATGTCTGGTAGGGGGGGGGGGCACGGGGTCAGAACGTTATATAAACACGACAGTAGTGTAAAATTACATGAAAGATAAATATATCACCAAAACACTTGGTTCTTTCGGTAAAGTCACGTAGAATGGCAATAATAAAGTAATAAAAATAAACATAAAAATAAATATAAAAATATAATAAAATAATATAAAAGAATAACATTTTTCTTATTTTATTATTTCCATTCTACGTGACTTTACCGAAAGAACCAAGAAGATGCATCCCTGCAGTCACGAAAGCTTTAAATCGAAATTCATCCACATCCTACCAGGCAAAGCCCACCGATGCATTCGTTTTTCAAAAGCGACCTGGCCACCACAAACGATAGCTCAACAAAGTGGCCCATCACTTGGACATTTAGAGCAGCAAAATAATCTAAAGTCGTCTAAACGTGCGTCTCTAAAAGGATGAAGACTGCCTCGAGGTTTCACCAACTCGCTCTTTTGCAAAGTAGTAACCCACCTCGCGTCCTGCAGCACACGAGCTGATTTGAGCTACTTGGCTTGAAACGGGGTTAAGGGTGTCTTTGTTGTTTTTGTTGAGACGAACCGTATTGTGTTTGAATGTGAAGCTTTGTTGAATGAGGCGTCATGCATGGATGCATCGGTGATTATAACCTCCCGTATAATAGTTCAGCGATGTCACATTTCATTTATATACGTGTCTCCATGTAATTTTTTTAAAAGTATCTGAGTATTTATATTGGACGAATCCGATGTGCTCTAACGCTCTTTTTCCACAGCTGTCCAGTAGTAGTATAAGTATGACCTACCTTGGCTTACCCATAATAGATGTTTTTTGGGGTTAAATCGCGTAAATATATAAGTGTCGTTAAAACCCGCCACCACCCGACACAGCCAACTAGTAAGGGTTGTCACGTAAACAGAACGTGGCCAATTCGTCACTAGTACAGCAACACCGGTTGTGTGTTGGGGAGCCAAGCCACAACATTTATAAACTGAGTACGACGTTTCGCCAGTAATTACTACTGGCTTCATCAGGCCTTAGCTTAGTTTTGCCTTCCGAGTTCATTAATTTGAGTATCATCAATCTGTGGGGAAGTGAGCAGTGGTTGTTATGTGGACAGACTGCTCCCCACTTTGTCAATGTGGAATTTCTGCCACTTGGCTCAAGGCCGTCAGCATGCTGCACGAGATGCAGTTGAATAGGGGCTTACACTAACTGGTTTAGTTTGTACTGCTGCTGTTGATTATGGATGAAGGGGAGATGGAACTTTAGAATCTAGTAATAGGTTTTTACCCTTTTAACTGGTACAAAATCTGACACCTTTATACAAGGCATCATGTTTGCAATAACCTCAACACAAGAAGTCAAAATGCAAACAAAAAGAAACAACTCTGATGATGATAATGATATGCACTGTCCTTGAAGTTGATTGGGCCACACCCGAGACGATTTCTTTAGAGCCTAGTCTCCATTGGTGTTGGACCAGATGACGCCAAAAGGCGTACAACTCAAATCAACTTCAAGGACAGTGCATATCATTATCATCATCATCAGAGTTGTTTCTTTTTGTTTGCATTTTGACTTCTTGTGTTGAGGTTATTGCAAACATGATGCCTTGTATAAAGGTCAGATTTTGTACCAGTTAAAAGGGTAAAAACCTATTACTATATTTTGCCACTGGTAAAGGAGATCTCATAGTGTAAACTTTAGGATCCTTTACACAATAGGCCACTGACATGAAGTGGGAGCGTGGGGGATGTAAGTTTGAAAAGCAGAGAATGTATTCTGTGCTTGTGACAAGAAAAAAAAAGCTAAAATTACGTAACGTTAATGGTGGAGTGCTGAAGTTTGTGTAATATATTTTTTCAACACAACCAAAATGTATTGTTGTTTACTGTCATCACGCGAGTACAATTTAGTGTTACACCGACTGATTTGCTGGATTGTCTTTTATTTATAAAGGGAAAAAATATATATTTTATAATTCGTAGAATGTTGAGTCAAAATTTGAGAAATATGTTAGGACTTGGACACTGACACAGTGACCTGCTGTTGCAAAGAGTTCCCCGGCATGCTTTCATAATCCTCAGCAATAATGGAAAGCTAGCAGTAGTCCTAGCTGAGCTGCATGTGAACTGAATCCAGTGACTAGGAAGCTAGGCTGTGTACACCTGTGTGATGCTGCATTGACCAACTTACCGACTCTCTTCTCTGAAGCACTTGCATGAATGTTATTTGTACACTTTGCTCATTTCACTAATGGTTTCTGCTTTGTGTCTTTCAGTCTTCTGAAGGGGAAGTGGCAGAGGTGGGTACTTTTCATTTCAAGTCCTGACATTGTACACCGTTGGCCAAGATTGCATTACGACGTTTCTCTATCATTGCTGGCCACATGTTGACAGCGTTTCCGTGCGTGAGCAAAACCAACCACAGGGACACTGCTTACGAGCTTAATTTGGTACTCACTGTCGGTGGAAATATAGCCCAGTGTTGCATTTCACACATTCAACTTCACAATGCATACGAAGCCCATAGTTGAGCACGTCATGGTGTGCGCTTTTTGTTCAAACCAACCATGGTCTTCTATCCTAGCCACTGGTCGTTTAGACGCGCAGAACCCCCATAGCATTTCGATTTAAAGCTTTCGTGACTGCAGGGATTCATCTTCTTGGTTCTTTCGGTAAAGTCACGTAGAAGGGAAGTAATAAAATAATAAAAATGAAACATAATAAAACAATTCTCACGACGTTTCAGGCCACAACGCAAGCAGCCGTCCTCAGGTGAAAACCAGGTCCGTCGAGGCGATAGAGTCTGAATGAAACAGCACACGAGCTTGGAGCATATATATAAGCTGGGCGCATTGACAAAGGATTGCAGAGTTTGTGTCGCTTTCTGGCCACATGTTGACGGCGTTTCCACGCGTGAGCAAAAACCAACCGCAGGGATACTGCCTGCGAGCTTAATTTGTTTGCTCACGCTCAGTGGAAATCTAGCCCAGCTTTGTATTTCACACATTCAAGTTTTTTGTGTTTAGTTTGTCCTTTCCCACACCTCCGATTAGCACGGTTGACTATGTATGGTGCGAAAGAAGTTCAACACGCGTACATGTTCACAATGCATACGAAGCCCAAAGTTGAGCGTGTGACGGTTGCAATAACGATGCAACTAGGCGTAACGTTCCCCCCCGCCGGCCCGCCTGTGCAGCTACAACATTTCTCCCTGCGTTTTTGGTGATTTTCTCCCTCTTCTTTTTCCCTTTGCCCACAGCCTCGGAGACGCTCTGCCAGACTGTCCGCGGTAAGTGCATAATCCGCTTCTGATTAACCAGAGGAATGTGCTTAGCGAGCAGAGTTTGTGTTCTTTTTTGTCGGGCGGGCGGTGTTTTTTTTTCGTCGTCGTTTAAACCAACCGTGGCGTTCTATCCCCAGCCCCGCCGCTGGTCGTTTAGGCTATCGGATCCCCGTAGCGGAGGGGTGGGACCGCGTTTGCTTGCATCTTTTCGAACGCGCAGGGCTAAGTTTCCCGCCTCGTCGTGGTTATGTAACACTGGAGCCCGTTTAATACGAAGCGTCTGCTGTTGCATAAGTCGAGTTGACTTAAGGGATTAGGCCAACACGGTTACTACGTGTTGACCCCCCCCCCCCCATGCTCCCTCTTTTAGGACAGTACTGTGGTGGACAATAAAAAACAACCATAGTAGCATTTCATTGTGCGCAGCTATCGCTGTGGTGCATTATTCCTCTTGTGTTATTGGTTTGCGTAACATTGTGTTTTTCCTGTTGCTGAATTGAGCGTAAACGTATTTTTTTTTTTGCGGTGTCATTTTTAATATTTAATGATTGTTTTTGCCAGTGCATGCCACTGGTATTTGCCTGCAGTGCTCTTGAGGCTCAGAGCCACTGGGCTACCAGACAGCAGTCGACAGTGCTGGTTTTGCGAGTGCCAACCACATGTTTTTGAGTGCGCCAATGAGCACAGGATTTTGACCAAACACCTTTGTGCTAGACGCCATGGAAGTGATATTCTAATGGCACTTTTGAGGACGGAGGAGGCGTGGTTACAAGGCGCTTGTGCTCATATTTTGGCGGTATTTTTCCTCAGACGAGTGGGATTTATTTGGCAGTTGTTAAAAATTCAAGCCAAATGACGGTGGATGCTTGAGTGAGCCATGCCGCAGTGGGCTGCAAGCCATGTGCCAAGCGTCGATGATTCGCTTGAGGAGATATTCCTCTTGCCCAAAATTACAGAAGAGCATTTACAATGCTTGGCCGAGCGATGACAGTGAGTGTTATTCATGGTTCCCAGCTAAGGTTGAAAGCGTTGATGCGTTTAACTCGGACTGTAACATTGGTTCACTAAGGCTCATAAAGATGATTCTATATAAATGGCATGTGAGCACAAGGTTTTGGGTGCTATAGAAAACTGCCAAATTGGTCATCTGGTGGCGTGCGACATCGTCATATCTTTGTGCGGCTTGAAACGTAACATTATTGCTGGTTAAATTACTGATGTGGATACGCGAATTTTGGAAATCATTGCACAAACCCTGCATGATGTGCTTGAATTGTATTCTCTATTCAATGTATGGGGAAAGCTTGGTGTTGATGAAGCCGAGGCACCACGGTGGCGAGATGTTAACTACCTTGCCTACTATACAGGAGGTTGTGGGTTCGGTCCTGACCCTGATGCTTGTATATTTGGAGTTCACATGTTAGCCCTGTGGTTGCGTGGATTTTACTCCGGGCGGGGTTGTCCTCCAGTTTTTTTCTCCCTCCACATTTTAAATCGACATCACGCATTTAGATTGTTTGACTGCTATAAACTACCACGTGATGATGAGCCATTTTCTTGAGCTATCCTTTGTGATAGGTCGTTTCTGAAAAAGAGTTGTCAGAGCTCAGTGGGCCTTACCTGGTAAAATAAAAAAAAGTTAAGTTTAAAATGTCAGTCCTCCAGTGAAGACTGAACGAGAGAGCAATAGTGTACACAAAGTGTGACTTAAATTTCGATTTAAAGCTTTCGTGACTGCAGGGATTCATCTTCTTGGTTTTTTCGGTAAAGTCACGTAGAAGGGAAGTAATAAAATAATAAAAATAAAACATAATAAAATCATTATTTTATTATGTTATATTTTATTTTTTTTTAACTTCCCTTCTATGTGACTTTACCGAAAAGACCAAGAAGAAAAAGTGTGACTTGAAAAGCACTCTGACCAATGAAGACAATTAGTAGGTGGCCGGGTGACTCAAGAGGTCTAAGCGCTCGGCTGGCACCGTTGGGATTCTGGGTTCGAATCGCGTCTGCCGCCCGGTGGTTATGCCGGCAAGCCCTCAAAGTGAGGCGCGGTTGATGGTCTCAGGCCGGCCACCAACGTGAATTGGGACTGCTGTTGCGGCCGGGCGTTGGGTGAACTCGTGTTCTCTTATCGTTCGTTGCAGAGGCCGTCTCCCCCCAAGCCAGAGCCCAAGCCAAAGAAGACACCCACCAAGGTGAGAGCCGGGGGGGGGGGGGGATCTGTAGGCACGTGTGTCGTTTAGGGGTTCTTGTTACGGCGAGAGTGATAAGCGCGATACCCTATCTTGGTGCTTTCCTTTTTGAAGGAGGCTTTTCAAATGTAATTAGAAAGATGCATTTAGACTATTTAGATTTTTTTGCCGCGATAAATGCCCGATTGGTAAGCCACTTTGTTGAGCTGTTATTTGTGGCCATGTCGCTTCTGAAAAAGAAGCTAATAGCTCTGTGCTTTACCTGGTAAGATAAAATAGTTTAGTTTTATTTGTTTTTTAAGTAATTTGTTTACCTTTCCAATACTTTGAACTCCTATCGTCTTTTTGTAACTTTCTGACCCGCCCCATCTGGACATCTTCATAGCTCATGGGATTCTTCCACTATAAATAAATATTCTGATGTATGTATGTATGTGGACTTCTTTCGCACCATACATAGCCAACCGTACTTATCGGAGGTCAATCTAGATAATTTAAAAATGCATAGCTCCAGTGGCTTCTGAATATCGGAAGGAGGAGTGCTCCAGACGGTCGCAGAAGTGCATCTGAAAGCGCGCGATGTGGTTACCACCGTCTTTGTTCAATGGTTAGCCAGAGGCCACTGCGAGGATGACCGGAGTTTGCGTGATTGGGGTTCTAATGCCAGGCCCGAGAACTCGGCCAGCACGACTGAGACCCCGAGTTTTTGAATCTGGGTTTTGGCCACCCACTCTGTATGTTGTATTATCCGGTGGATGATGGTTTCAGCTTGGTTGCCAATGGCTGCATGAAAAGAAAAAACATAGTGCTATTTGGCTTTCACTTAATTCAGTATATGTCAGCTTTACAGATATGTGACACACACATTGACAAGTGTGGATACTAAGCCTATTAACCCCTTCCTGTTCAAAGATATCTACAACTTGGAGGGGTGGTTGCCCCTTTCACCGCTCAATCTCGGAACACGCAAGCGGTTAGCATTAGTTTTATTTAGGGAGGAGTAGCGCTGCTGTTTCTAAAGACACGGTACTGTACTCGCCGCAGAGATGGGTAGCAACACGACCGCACGCCCTCCTGCACAGCCTTTTCAGATTCCATTCAGAATTGGTTCCGGTCCAACGATGTACACGTACGGAAGCAGAACGGGTAAGGATCAATCAAGCCTCTCGATGTGACTTTGTGTTTTTTGTTTTTCCTCCTGTCACCAAACCTCGGTGGGTTGGGGGGGTTGCGGTGGGTATTTAGCGAAAGTCAGCGGAGGCTTCTGAGGAGAACCGGGACAATGAGGAGGTGGAGAGGATGGAGGAGGAGGATGCCGCTGCCGGCGACGCCCTGGGTTCCGACGATGTGAGCACCTCCTCGGAGAAGGTGTCCGCAGAGACCGCCCCTGCGGAGAACGGAGAGAAGAACGGCGACGAGGTGGGAGAGAATGCGACGCCGGGCAAAACCCTCTCTCTGACCTTTGACTTTTTGTGAAAGTGAAAAATATGGGCAAATGGCTGCTGGCGTTGAAATAGATTTTTTTAAGTGGTATTTTTGTTCCCTAGGTTGCAGTGTACGTGAGCGTTTAAACTCAGGGGGGTGAATTTGAAATAAACCGGGCTACTAGTCGTCTTCAAGAAGTTAGTTGCAAATCCGATTGCGTTGGGGACTGAGTTATGGGCAGATGTGTGAAGAGGTGGGATGTGTGAGCAGCTTTCGAAAATGAATCGCATACACAAGTCTGATTTTGGGCAAGAAATAGAGCCGTTTGCCCTTGCATATTTGTCCAGTAACCGACTTGACCACTTTACACTGTAGACAAAAACCAGTGCAAACTCCTAAAAACATTGGAAAATGCTATATAATGGTGGTGCCAACAGCAACAGCATTGGCCAAAACGTGCTCTTGATATTCACCTTAAAAACACATTCCTGCGGAGGGAGCTGGTAGGAACGTTGGGTTGCTCGGTCAATGGCCAGGGTCAACGGCAGGCGTGGTGTATTCCGCAAATATGCCTGACTGAGGGCGGGCACAAGCCGGCGTGAGTAGGTTAAACGCTGAGTTTCATAAGGGAACCATGGGGTGAGCAGCCCCTCCCCACCCAGCCCCACTCCACCCTCCCCACCCAACCCCACCCTCCCCACCCAGCCCCTCCTTGCACGACGGACGGACACAATAATCCCCTGTGGGCTGGTGGAACCAGTGGGTTTCTACCAGTATGAGGCCCATGATTTCCAGGCTGGCTCAACTTTATTTTCACAAAGCAGTGCCTTAACTGCACCAGAGCAGTAACTTGCCGGTACAATCTGAGAACGAAAACGTGAATCGTTCATCAGACATCGGGCGAATGTCTTTGTCGTGTAAAGTTATTTTCTTAGGTTAGGGTGGGGCAGAGTAGAGTTGCAAAGTCTTCAATTCTCACTCCTCTCTGTGAGCTTGAAGATGTAAACAATTCAGACGTCGGGTATTCTTTTCTAGATTGGTGGATAAATTAACCAGGCAATTGGTGCCCTCAACAAAACAGGCCACCACGGTGGCGAGATGTTAATTACCTCGCCTGGTATATAGGTGGTTGTGGGTTCAATCCCGACCCTGACGCCTCTGTTTGGAGTTTGTGTGTTCTCCCCGTGGTCGTGTGTGTTTTTCTCCAGGTCCTCCGGTTTTCTGCTCCACGTTTAGAATCAGCGTGCGTTTAAGATTATTTGGTTGCTGTACATTTCCACAGGATAAGCCACTTGGTTGAGCTATCATTTGTGGTATCTAGGTTGCTTCTAAAAATAGCGAAATAGCTCCGTGGGCCTTACCTGGTAAAATAAAAATTAGTTTAAATCTACAATAACACAGACCTTTTGCCAGCACTTGCACTTTCATGCGTTTGGTTTCTGCTGAATTTATTTAGAATCTTGTGAGCAGCCACAAGTGCGGGAGACTAAATCTCCACGTGGGTCCCACTCACTGCTGGGGAGTGTTTCTGAAAATCGGACGTTGAGGCTTTTGCTCGTCAATGACCTCCGGAGTGTTTCCGTGGCGCTCGTTCGAGAGTTTCAACCTTGCGGCTGGGAGGCGAATGACTTTCGCGATCGCCATCCAGCGCGTACCACTGTTGTGCACGCTGTTGAAACCCGATCGGGCTTGCGGACCAACTACAAACATGCCCCCAAATGTCTTTGCTTATTGTTTTGCACGATTCCCCTTTTAACTTTCGTCGTTTTTTTCCCCTTGCATGTCAAGTGCATGTTATACTGTTACTCTTAACGATAAAGGTGTCTCTTTCTCAATGTTTTCTCCAAAAGGATGGCAGATTGCATGGCTTAAGTTTGCAACAGGGTGGGGGGGGGGGGGTGGAGGGGGTAGGGAACCTAAGGCCCCCCACTTTATTTCATAAAACACGAGGCCGACGATTTCCAAACAGCCCCCAAACAATATTTACCTGTCATGAGTGAGCGTCAAAGCCAAACTAATTGTGTACGAGAGGGCGACGTTTCTTTGACCCAGCAACACTGCATTCCTATTATCGGAAGCCTCAGTCACTGCAAGGGCCTCCGATTAGTGCAGGTCGGCTACATACAGTGCTAAAGAAATTGAACATACGTATATTTCTGTTAATGTGTTTGGCCCGTGCGCCAAATGTAACCTCAGTCGTATTTGGCTCTCGTTAAGGAAACGGTTTCCCAACTCTGTGCTTAAACAATTGGCCTAAACTGCAGCTTTAGTGCTCACTTCCAAACAGAGTTTTTCGTGCCTGTGACAGTTGTAGTTGTTTACCTCGGAATGCATCCTTCTCTTCGCCGTGACACCGCATGGCTTGACCCTCAATCTTCCTCCTCCTCTTCCCTCTTCTCCTCCTCCTCTCCATGAATCCTCGAACCGACCCCACCCCTCCCCCCGGGAAGATCTTGGTGTCGCGCACGTGCGTGTGCGTGTTCCCTGCAAGCGATTGCCGCAGCTCGCTTCCCCTGAGCGTTGCCGGCCCCTCGGCACCAGGGAGGGTGATGCTGGGCATGAGTGGTGACGGTGGCGGCGGTAGGAATGTCCTTCCCAGAGTGTGCCTCCTTTTGTGTTCCCGCGTGTGCGTCGCAACAGTGGGGGGGGGTCAAATTAGTGTAGGGCACTGCGGTGGCATTTGCCTGTCTATCTGTCCGTGGTCGCGTGGGTTTTTTTCCCCTCTACGTTTCGAATCGGCATGCGCTTTTAGAGTAGTTTGGCTGCTATAAGTTTCCACGTGATGAGCCACTTTGCCGAGCTATCATTTCTGGCCCAGGTTACTTCTGCAAAAGAGTTGTACAGCTCAGCGGGGCTTACCTGGTAAACTTTAAAAAAAGTTTGCAGTGCCTCCTGGTCCTTAGGCTCAAGCCGTTTGACCTTGTGTGTGAAGAATGAGGTCAAATTTCAGTTTGCGTGGGCGCTTTCTGTTGCCACTTGTTACCTGACGCTGTTGTGGGTATAAAACAAATGGTGAAAGTCGCCGGCTCCGTCCCCCCATTGAGGAAGCAACGAGCATTAGAGGAGGTGCTCGTGAACATTTTGCGGAATCTTGAGTCTGTGGAAAGGCCACCTTCCTACGGCATGGACTGGTATTTCGGTAGAACGACAGCCTCTCGCTGTTGACTGCTCACAAAGTGGTGCTTATTTTACTTCCAAGAGAAGAACGATAGGGCGCTGATGGACGCTTTTTAAAACGCGCAACATATCTAATGTCAAATGTGATTCATAATTGCAATCAGAATTCGACCAATATTCCCCTTTCTAATTATAATTGACTCGGGTGTCTGCATCTGAAAATCCCCTTGCAATTAACTGCAAGGTGAGTGTTTGGATACAGGGTGACTTACTCACCTCAGGAATAATAATAATTATATTATGAGTGAGTTTATTTTCACGTGGAATTTCATGTTTGTAAGACAGTTGTTTGGTAACGGCTGGTAGGCAACCCTCAGTTTTTTTATGGTGTGGACCAAACTATTTGAGGATTCGGCAGTCCAGTGACCTGTCTTGTAAAAAAGATCATCAAAGTAATTTTCTCCCGGAACTGATACGACAGTCGTAAGGAAATTTCACTGGATGGAAGACGACTCTGAAACACAGATAGCTCTTTAGGCTTGGCTGTGCGTCCCGGGCGGTCTGACACAAATGTTAAACTTTTGTGATTTGAGGAACAATAAGTATAACCCGTAAAAACAAAGTTTTTCACTCTAAATCCTTTATATGCGTGGCGGCTAGAGTCCTCTCGTCCTCTGGCTTGAGATGGCTGCCACCTATGGGTCAGATGATTGCATTGCACCATTAAGCAATTGGTAATTAAATATAATATTTTTGTCCTAAAAAGTGTAAAATTTTGGAAAAAAATTTTCACGAACATTAATTGTCACGCACAACGAGTCTGTGTGGAAAATGTCAGCTCGATTGGATCACGGGAAGTGGGTTTAAAAACGACCGAAAGATTTGCACGGTCCTAAGCAAGCAAGCGAACTTAATATAAAGGATTAAAAAAATAACGTGAAGTCACTGCCAGAGTGGCTTTGTAATGTGACTGGAGTGACGTATTACACAGTGCAGGAGTCAAGCTACAAGCTAGATGCGGACGATACGATTAGTTCAGCAAACGACTAATTGCCTCCGATTTCCTGCGGTGCCATCACTCGAGTGCATCTGGCTATAACTGAAAATGTATCGGTCTCATAGGTAATGCTCCAAACTCGTATTGGACAGCCCAGCCACACACGACATGGGTGCATATCAACTACAAGCTGCGAGCAGGTTTTCTGTGTCGCGTTTTCCTTAATGTCATTCAACAGAATCAGAATATGTATTTATACTGCAAGAATCCGGTGACCTATGAAGCTCTTCTCTTTCACCGATGTCCTGCCGGGGCACGGGGTCAAAACGTTACAACAACAAACAGTACAAACACACGTCAGGAGTGAAAAGTATAGGCCAGGGTAAACAAATCACTTAAAATTATATGTACACAAATAAAACAACTGGCCACGAGAATGCTCTATCATAAAGTATTGAAGCCACGCAGTTTGCAGAGCTGTGCCGAAACACAGCGCCACCTTTGAATGCGCCGCCGCTTATCAAACTAAACTGTTAATAAGTATAACCCGTAAAAACAAAGTTTTTCACTATAAATCCTTTATTTGCGTGGCGGCTAGAGTCCTCTCGTCCTTTGGCTTGAGATGGCTGCCACCTATGGGTCAGATGATTGTCTGCCAGTATTAAACAATTGGTAATTAAATATTTAATTTGTTTTCCCTAAACAGTGTAAAATTTTGGAAATATTTTTTTCACGAACATTAATTGTCACACAACGAGTCTGTGTGCAAAATGTCAGCTCGATTGGATCACGGGAAGTGGGTTAAAAAACGACCGAAAGATTTGCACGGTCGTAAGCAAGCAAGCACGCAAGCACGCAAGCACGCAAGCAAGCAAGCGAACTTAATATAAAGGATTTAAAAACAAATTTTTTGCGAGCCGTAAGACCTCCACTGGGCTACGTAGCTCTTGCAGAAGCGAGCTGAGCTATCACAAAAGACAGCATCAATTTTGTTACAAATGATAGCTCAACAGAAGTAGATTAGCATCGTGGAAATTTATAGCAGCCAAATACTCTAAACGCGTGATGTTGATTTCTAAATGTGGAGGGAAAAACCGGAGGACCCGGAGTAAAAATCTTGCACGACCACGGGGAAAGAGAGAGACCTACAAACTCCTAAATATACATATACGGTCTTCGGGGTCGGGATCGAACCAACGAACTCCTGTATAACAGGCGAAGTAGTTAGCATCTCTTAGCCACTGGTATCACTGCAGGCGCAGCACGTAGGTGAATTATTAGCGACTTAGCTTGCTGCCTCTTGGGGGAAGGAGGTGTCAAAATTATTGAATCCTGCCTGCTCTTTAGTGGATTTCTGCAAAGGCAATTGATGCAAGGCCTCCATTCATTGTCCCGGAGCAATGAATTTAATGTTGGCTCAATTGGACGAAATCTTGCAGCAGTGTATGTCTCCAGTGTCCCCGAATTTGTCAATTCTGTAATGAGGCTAGATGTGAGTTGACCTGGATTTTAATAGGCTGCACGTGTTTTTGAGTTAAGAGTAAACTTGTTTTCGGGATGCACGGTTGCGTCACGTTTTTATATTGCGTGGCTACGCTTGGCGTTTGCACCTTTGAAAATCCGTTACCGACTGCCTTGGGTGATGCTGTTGCACGTGTGTGGAATTGCACCATTGCCTCGGTGGCCAACTTGGGCACGTGCAGGCAAACACTTTAAACATAAAGTAGCCTCCCACACAGTTAACAAGCAAAGTGAAACTTAACACTCGAGTTTGGTGAGAGTTGCGTGATAATGCGCAGCTGTAGGTGGCTTTATTAAAAAAAAACGCTTTTTTTTTGGTTCCTTTGCATGGAATTGGCGTTCAAAATTTAACTGGCTGCTGTGCATTAACCCTGTGCTCTAACAAAACCTGGTATCGGCCCCGTTTTTAGATGGTGAGGTTTCAACTAATCCCATGGGTCGCTGCTGCTGTGTGCAATGCTGTCTTTTTTGCCGTGTTTTTTTGCTGTGTGTGTGTGTGGTTTGCCTTCTGTGACGGCCAATTTGCTTGCAGCTTGTTTTTCTTTTTCAAACTCGTGATGCTTGTTTGTTTCGAACGGGCGCGGCGGCATCGGCCGCTGCGCCTTTGGTGTGCCCCTTCTCGTCAGTTTTAAAAATGTTGACGTCAATGTTGATGATGTGAGTCAACGTATTAAAATCGGCAGAACGAAGTGTGTGTTTTAGTCGGAACCTCGGTGAACTAGTTACGCGCAAACGTCAAACCTGTTGCCCTGCACGTGGATAATTAATGCCCCTGGAAATTATGGTGAGATGTGTGCATCTCTCATAGTATTGTCAGCCTTGTGGCGTTTCTGGCGGTGGTGGGCGGTGTGGATTTAGAAATGTCGTGGTAAGTTGGGCAGTGTTGTTTAAACGGCACCCAGCCTCGTGCAATCCATTCATGGGCGATGGAGGGCATTTGCGAGTCCATGGGGGTGAAAAAGCCTTCTCTTGCCTTCATGTTGGGGAAGTGCTTGAAGCTGTTATTTCTCAGCTGATGTAACAGCACCGTTATTTTTTTTTCCCAATGTTGTTGGGCTTTTTAAGAACTTTTTCATCCCCAATGGGCAGATATGAATACCTTGGTGGGCCTTTACTTTCAAGATATTTAATGAAAATTAACCGAATGGTTATGTCGACAAGCGATGGGGCTTGCGAATATGTGAATCTGGCCCTTGGATTTTGCTTAATGAGGTTGCGATCGAAGCGTCTCCGTGACCTACATTCCATTGGAGTGGTCAACCCTCTGATAGCCTGACAGTGACCTGGTCTGGCTGGTTTATCCTTGCCTCTGAGAGTGCACACGGGGCTGAAGCGTTGCGTATTTTGTGAGGTTTTTTTTCACGTCTCTCATTCTGCGATCGCTCGCGGTCGACTCTGCGCGTTTGCCGAGCCGCGTTGACCCGCTCCGTTTTGTTTGTGGGAGGCAGAAATATTTATTTTCGTTTTAACTCGCGGTCAGACGCTCCGTTACAGCACGCCTGATGTGCATCGCTGCCTTTCATTTGAATGCAACAGCAATTCAATTACCGCGAGGATACGAGCGATGAGCGTACGTGCGTTGAATGTCTTTGCGCGGGTTTTTTTTAGGCGGCAAGCGCACGCTCCGGTTAACTGGGGGTCCCCCCGCCCTTTCTCCCTCCCTCCCTCCCTCCCTCCCTCCCTCCCTCCCTCCCTCCCTCCCTCCCTCCCTCCCTCCCTCCCTCCCTCCCTCCCTCCCCCTTCCCCGTTGCGCCGCAGATGAAAGCGAAGGAGGAGCAAGCGGCGATTGAGAAGCCGGCCGAGAAGGAGCAGCTGGCCGCCACCGTCACCACCGCCGCCGCGCAGACGCCACCGGCCTCCCAGCCCAAAGTGTCCGCGCCGGACGCGGTGAAGCCCGCTCCGCCTCCTCCGGCCAGCGCCGCCTCGCAGGCCAAGCCCACGCTCCCCCCCAACGAGCCGCCGACGCCGGCGGCCCCCCCGGCGGTGCCGGCGAAAGCCACGCCCCTCGTCCCGCAGGCCCCGCCCACCGCCCCGCAGGCTCCGCCCGTCACGGCGCAGGCCCCGCCCCCGCCGGCCAAGGCGGCGGCGGCGGGGGGCGGCCCCCCCGCGGCGAACGCGGTGGCGGCGCCGCCTCCCTCGGCCCCCCCCGCCGCCCCCCCCGTCGCCGCCCCCCCCCGCCGCCCCGCAGGCGCCGACGCTGATCCTGAAGGCGCCGCCTCCTCCGCTGCCGCAGCAGCAGCAGCAGGCCCCGCCGTCCGTGGTGGTGCAGGCCCCGGCCCCCGCGGCGCCGGCGGCCGTGGCCGTGCCGGGCTCCGGCCCGACAATGGTGGCGATGCCGGGCCCTCCGCCGACTTCGGAAGGAGGCGTCATTAAGGCGGCCGAGTAAGAACGTCGAGACGACACCATCGTCGACGCCGCCGCCGCCATCGTCGACGACGCAGCCGTCGTCGTCGTCATCGACGGCACCGCCACCTTCGATGCCCGGCTACCGTTTATTTTAATCGTTTTCTCTCTCTCTCTCCCGTTTTGCGTGTGCGCGCGTGTGAGACAGATAACAGCCATTGGATTTTTCTCTTGCAGCTGACGCCGATTTGTGTTGAATCACACTAGCTTCTTTGGATATAATTTTTTGTTGTTGCGGCTAGTTGCATACAGACTTCTCTCTGTTTAGAGCATAACCGATTTTTAGCACCTTTCCGAGATAGATTTTTATGGGTACCTTTTACCGCTAGAATATTGGCAGCGTTCACGATTTTTATTTTTTAAACGTAGATAATTGAGATTTTTTTTTTTTTAGGCTATCTGTTTGGGATTTTTGGTTTGATTTTAGTTTTGGCTCACTTTGATTTTGACCTGGAAAGGCACACAGGTGTATGATTATTCTTGGGGGCGGGGGAAAACATAAAAACGAAAGTCTTACCCCGATGCTGAAAATGCTTTTGTTTGGTAATGTGTAGGGCGAGTGTAGGTACGGATGGAATCTGATCAAGTCTAATGTATCTACATGTGATGTTGCCTTTCTCAGTATTATTTAAGAAAACTCCTAGTTATTTAACTTTATTTCCCTGTGAGATGTGGCAACAAAAGCATTAAATGGCCACATCACCTTGTTTTGCCCATCTCAAATAGTTGGCATACAATGAAACGAGTAATAACTTTGCAGAAAAGCTAAATATTTTCGGAGGGGAGCATTTTCTGTTGGTCAAAGTATCCGCAATTTTGTGTTGTATTTTCCACTACAGAGCGGGGTACATCACCGTGCGTCCAAGGCGTTGGGTGTCCAATGCAGGTTGAGTGTTGGTGCATAATAGATTAATCTCTTTGGGGGGGGTGAGGGTGAGGGGGGAGGTGTCAAAGCCCCATTCACATGTGGGCTCATCTTCAGGCCAAATAGTTTGGGCATTCCGACCTTTGTAATCCCTGCATTTGTAGCACATTTTAAAATGTTTTTATGAGTACGAACCGGGGTAAATTTTTTTACAGTGAGCATCACGAATTTTAAAGTAACGTTTGAGAATTTACCAGACTTTATATATTTTTTTAGCAACATGATACACTCGGTGGGGGTGGTGGCCGTTGGCTCGACGTGCGCATGTGCATTGGGCTGGAACCGCTACACACACACCCAGGTGGCACTGACCGTGATACTCGACAAATTCTCTGAACCTCGGGCCATCGGTGCTTCCATTCTGCGATCAAATTTCTTGACTCGCCGCTCGGAGAAACTCGGGCGCATTCGGAACCAGTTGGTTGTCTCCACACTCTGCCTTTATTAGGAAAGGCAAACTTGTGTAGTAAGTGGCAGGTCTTAATTCTGTCAGAATTAAAACGGCAGTCCGCGGAGTCATCAACACCGTATTTGTTTTCTAAATGTTTCAATTGGAATGGTCCAATGGGCAGAGTTAAACATGTTTCTGTTTAAAGTTTTTTTGAAGGCGTGATGACGACCTGCGATTTGAACAATTGGATGCGCCTCCGATTATCACTGTCGGCTACGTACGATGCGAAAGAATTTCAACGTGCTCACGCGACTGGGAGCATCTTAGTTCTTGAGTAAATGTTATGGACGGAGCTGAACGGAAGGGGGAGGCCATGATTGCCCAACAACTTTGAGAGAGGCAAACGGAGCGTTAGCGAGGTGGTGGAACCGGACCTTGCGTGTGGCGTCCATGCAACTCGTCCAGATGAATTATACTATCGGTCGGTGAAGTCTACGGGTGCAGTGCATGCGTTGTTCTGTGTAAGCGGCTTGCGTGCAGCGGTGTCCTTCGCTGCGGTGTCAGCACGTGTTGCGTAAAGGTACCCACGGTGTAAGAGGAAGGTCCACGTAAAATTAAGTCGACTTAAAAAAAAAAATTAACCGTGTAGAGCCAGACCGAACTGTTAGCTGTTTTCCAGAGGTGATCTTTCCACGCGTGATATCTTCCAAGTGGGGCTTATCATCATGATCATCATCACACGTGAGAAATTATATTAGCAGCCAAATAATTTAAGTTTGAAATGCGAAGGGGCAAGACCGTTGTAGAAAAATCCACGCGAACGCTGAGAGGTCGCACGAACGCCAAATACAAAGGACACTTGGGTTGGGGTCGAATCCACGACTTCCTGCGTACCATAATAATAGGGTTTTTCCCCTTTTTGCGTACCAGTCGAGGGAGATAACAGCTCCTCGCCACCACAGCGTTAAAATGTTCAATCCAAACCCATATGTGTTGACGTCCCGGGAAAATATTTAGTTTTTCTTTCATTTTTCTCTTTAATTGGCTGTTTTTTGATGTTAGGTTCCTTCAGTACCACTCACCTTTCGTTGGAGTTGCCCACTGTTGATAAATGAAAGCAGAAGTGTAAGACTTTGTCGCTAATTTTCTGAAATTGTGCTTTTTTTTTATTTGGGCTCTCACTTCCCAAGCACTCTTAAGCATTTTTATTTTTCAAAGCAAGTTTTTGTTTATTTGAGTAATATTTAACGAGCATAATAAAAAAAACATTGGCGCACGTGTCCCCACCTTTGTAAAACAAAGAAATGATTTCTACATTTCCATTTGTAGCATGGCCAACGTGTTCTATAAAACTAAAACTCTGAAGTTTTCCTTGTAAGAGAGAAGCGGCGGCGGCGGCGGCAGCAGCAGCAGCATTATCAGCGGGTGTCGGAGTGCGTACCGAGTTTGTCGTGGAGATTTGCTCGGGGAAGGCTGGCAAACGAGCGCTTGTTTCCTTATTAGTTGTTGTGCCACGGTCGTGTTTGCGTTGGTGCTTTATGTTGCTGGGCTGCTGTGTGGGTTTTACATTCCAGCTTGCGTTTGTTGTGGGGGGCCGTGTTGTGAGATGCCGCCGCTGCCGCTGCTGTTGTTCATAAAACGACGGAGCGATGCCCGATGAGTTTCTCACCGCCCGATGCCAACGGGTTTGCCGTCGCCCATTTCGCCTGCGTTAAACATTGGCCTCTTTACTCCGTTAGGTTGCGCCAACGCGTCTGAAATAAACGAAACTCCTCGGGAGCTTTTGCTTCATTCAAGTTAAGTCGTTCGGTCGTTCGGCGTAATCGCGTCGTTCGAGACGTTCGGTCGGGGCATTGAAGCGTAGAGGTAAATTTTTGAACGGAGTAAAAAAAATATAAACGTGAAAGCCGTTTTAATGGGCTCGTTTGAAAGTTGAACGTAAAAAGCAAGCGTCCGAGCAAATTCGGTTCAAATATTTGCGATTTAAGCGATAGCTACGGCGAGTGGTGACGTTGACTGCTGTCCGCGGTTTTTCGATGGGCTCTTCTCTCTCAAGAGAGAGTTCTCTCTCTTGAGAACTCGGGCATAAAGTTTAGGCTTTCGCTCGCTATGGCCCAAAAACCATCGACAGATTAAAAGCAATGCCCCCGATTGCGCGTTGCGTACTCTGCCGCTCGCCACCGCTCATTTTTGCAACCCCTCCTTCACCAGGGTTTGCGAGTCGATTCGCGGTTGGCAAAAGTGGGAATTTTTGACGTGCGCAGAAGTGCATTTTGGAGCCGGCTGCAGTGGCGTGGCTGGAAATTGGAATTTGTCCCAAGCAATGGCTGATGCGATTTTCTTTGGGTCTTTCGGTAAAGTCACGGAGATAGGTTCAGGACGACCGCTTGTGTTACGATCGAAACATCGTATAGCGTTTTTTTGTTCTTTTCTTTGAACCTATTCTACGTGACTTTATCGAATGACCCAAATGATATGAATTCCTGCAGTCACGAAAGCTTTAAGTCAAGATTTAATGGCTAATGCTGCTGTAGCAGAACTAAGGGCCCCAGAGCATTGCATTTCCCCCCCCTCCCTCTTAGCTCCACTTCTTTGTCTTAATTTCCCACTCAAAAGCCCCATTTTTTTTGTTTTTGTAACAAATGCAAATGTGTCATTTTTGATTTGGGAGGTAGAATTTTTATATATAAAAATTTGGTTTAAGAATTGTCTGTCCTGCAAACATTGCTGCTTTTTTGTGCTGAAATGTGTGCTCTGGACTGTGCTGTCAAATAGTTGTGTTTGGTCTGCATTTCCTTGATTTGGTGCGTTGTACCTTGTTGTTGTTGTACCATGGCTTCCGCGTTGTATGTTAGGCCGAGCTTCTCCGCTCTGTGCTTTTGTCCGGTGGGGTGAATGGGGTGCGTGGGGTGGTTGGGACACGTTTCCATTCGAAATGGCCTCTGAATTTAGGAGTTTTGGGTTATCCGTGGAATTATTTGTTTGCGTGTGGGAGTTTTTCTTTTCTTCCGTTCTCCCTTCCTGCAACGAATTCGACCAGGTTCTCAGTGGTGAGCTATGGATAAAAAAAAGCGGAAATAGCATCAATGTTTCGTGTTGTGGAAATATTAAATGTGTGTGTGCGCGCGCGTTTGTGTTTTTAGTTTGGCAGGGCGACAACAAAAAAATCGATCTCTATATCACTACGTGGAGGTGTTAACGTGTTGTGACAGGTATGGTGGGAGGAGGAGGAGGGGGGTTGGTGCAGTGGCTGCTGTTGCGATTCTCATATCTCGTGACCAGGTCAGAGGACCCCACGCTGATGAGGGGAGTGGCAATGGGCCGCCACTTGTTTTGAACCGCGAGGGGTGTTTGCCATCGGCTGGCACGCCCGTCCGTCACAACGTGGAGCGGAGAGAAGTGACGTTTCCAACCAAACGCCCGTGACCTCGTGCACGTTAGGACCCCATCCCCCCCCTCCCCAGCGTTAGCGGGACTTAATGATGTTGGCGGCTCATTTAAATTCTGTAAAAACAACAGGCCATTGGCTGCAGTGCTCTTTTATTGGTACTTATGTAAAAAGGAGAAAAATCCACAGCAAATTCGGTTGAAATATTTGCGATTTAAGCGGTAAATAGGGCGAGTTGGCTGCTGTCCGCGGTTTTTCTATGGGCTCTTCTCTCTCTTGAGAGAACTTTATGCCCGAGTTCAGTTCTCTCTCTCACGAGAGAGAACTCGGGCATAAAGTTTAGGCTTTTGCTCGCCCCCCGTTCATCACTGGGGGGGGGGGGGGGGGTGGGGTCAACGTATGGCCCAAAAGCCATCGACAGATAAAAATCAACGCCCCCGATTGCGCGTTGCGTACTCTGCCGCTCGCCACCGCTCATTTTTGTAACCCCTCCTCCCTCCCCCACCAGGGTTTGCGAGTCGATTCGCGGTTGGCAAAAGTGGGAATATTTGTTTTGTTTTTTCTCTTCCCGCCCTACCCATCTCGCTCGCTCGCTCTCCCACCAGGCGTTTGGCCTAGCATGATCTCCGCACGGTTGGGGTGGGGGTGGTGGTGGTTGCAGGTTTATTTGTGCAGGTATTTCCAAGGCCGTTTTCAGATGCATACATACGTGGTTGTTTTTTTAATTTTTTTCCCCATTGCAGTAGGTTTCCTATGCCTCGGTGGGTGGGTTACCAGGGCATCTGGTGCAAGTTTAAAAATAAAAAAAAACATCAGGTTCATTTGTACACAGTTTTTACAAGATTTAAAAAATAACATTTCAAACAGGAAGGGGGTGGGTAGATCTTTTATAATCACAAAATAGCAAAAAAAAAGACAACATGCAACCGTGTGTGTTTTTGATCACAAAATATTTTCCATGTCATTACAATTTTGACTGTATTGTCTTGTGGTAGAGTAATAATATTACATAGGCAGTTTGGATTGTATAAATAAGAAGATAAATGATCTATACGTGTGTTCCTTTGCCTCGGGATAAGTGTGTATTTAAACATGCAAAATACCAGCTCAAAAGCATTGCAAAAGAGTAGGTAGTGTAGTTTAAAGGCTTCGACATTGAGCTAAGTTTAATAATGAAATAAAAAAATAGAGCATTACTGTTTCGTCACTCTACAGTTTCAGAATTGAGTGTTTGTATTTTTATACAACTTAGTCATGCAGACATCGCTGTTTTATTAAATTGTTTTTTTGTGAGTAAATTGTAGTAATAGGTAATAAAAACATGTTGAAAATACACGCGGCTCGTTTGGGTTCATGTTCGCCTGTGCTTTTTATTTTACATTTACACTCTCAGTGTTCATTGTTTTAACTGTTGACTTTTAAAAATCCTTTATATTAAGTTCGCTTGCTTGCTTAGGACCGTGCAAATCTTTCGGTCGTTTTTTAACCCACTTCCCGTGATCCAATCGAGCTGACATTTTGCACACAGACTCGTTGTGCGTGACAATGCATTTTCGTGAAAACATTTTTCCAAAATTTTACACTGTTTAGGGAAATTTTTATAAATATTTAATTACCAATTGTTTAATGCTGCCAGACAATCATCTGACCCATAGGTGGCAGTCATCTCAAGCCAGAGGACGAGAGGACTCTAGCCGCCCCGATGCCACGCATATAAAGGATTTATAGTGAAAAACTTTGTTTTTACGGGTTTACTTGTTTTGTATTTTACCAGGTAAGGCCCACTGAGATTTTTTTTCAGAAGTGAACTCGCTATCACAAATAGCTTGATGAAGTGGTGCATCGGCATCATCGCGTGTAAATTTACAGCAGCTGCCAAACACTGAACGCGTGGTGATGTTGATTCTAGACTCGTAGACCCATAGACACAGAGACCCATAGAGATTCAAACTAAACTTTTAATTATTGCATGTAAGGGGCCTCACTGAGCTGCAGTGTAGCTCTTTCATAAGCGGCCTTGTTATCACAAATGATATCTCAATGAAGGGGCTTATCGCGTGGATATTTATAGCAGCAGCTAAATACTTTTATGAAATAGGGGGCGGTGGGGGTGTGGAACCAAAGGAATTTAAACCTGGAGATGATCAAAGTAGCGGGAACCAATTGTTGGAACAATGTTAGGCAAAAATGTCACATATCCAATGACCTCGGAGTTATTTAAAAAATTAACCCGTAAAAACAAAGTTTTTCACTAAATCCTTTATATGCGTGGCGGCTAGAGTCCTCTCGTCCTCTGGATTGAGATGGCTGCCACCTATGGGTCAGATGATTGCCTGCCACTATTAAGCAATTTGTAATTAAATATAAAAAAATGTTCCAAAAAAGTGTAAAATTTTGGGGGAAAAAAATTTCAGGAAAATAAATTGTCACGCACAACGAGTCTGTGCAAAATGTCAGCTCGATTGGATCACGGGAAGTGGGTTAAAAAACGACCGAAAGATTTGCACGGTCGTAAGCGCCGCAAGCAAGCAAGTTAACTTAATATAAAGGATTTAAAAAGGTGAGATCAAGCCGACGAGAAGCAGAAACCCAATTGCCCTCTGTCGCAGGTGCGCACTTTTTGACATTGGGAACAAAACGCAACATTTAAAAGGGGCGAGTCGGTTTTAGGAAAGGTATCTCTCTACCCTAGCCGCATATAATTTATCAGAATCTGGCAATAAAATCAAGACTTGGGTTTTGCAGCACTATATAGTTACTGTATTGCAGAGGTCGCAAACGGGGTTTGATTCCTTACCCGTACCCGGCCGCACCAGGGTCGCAAACGGGTACCCGTACCCTACCCGATACCCGGCTACCTGTACCCGGCCAGGTATCGGGTAGGGTACGGGTACCCGATTGCGACCTCTAGGATGAAGCCATGTTGCAGTCGCGGGTGGGTTGATTCTAGGAACTTGAATTGTGAGAAGAGACAAGACGTTGGGAAATGAGTGACAAACGGTGACTCACCAGTGACTCACGGCCTACCCGTACCCGGCCGCACCAGGGTCGCAAACGGGTACCCGTACCCAGCCGGGTACGGGTAGCCGGGTATCGGGTACCTGGTTGCGACCTCTGCTGTATTGCCATTGTACGTTCTAATTTGACTGCCACTGGATTCTCCGATGGTAATATTTTTCAAGAAGTTAACAAACATCATTGGAGAGCATGGGTTATGTGACTCCAACATGAATTGGCGGGGTAAAAGCCAGGTGGGCTAAATTTCGTGACTGCAGGGATTCATCTTCTTGGTTCTTTCGGTAAAGTCACGTAGAAGGGAAATAATAAAATAATAAGACACTGTCTTTCAGACAGCTCTGTTTTTTCACCTGAGGACGGCTGCTTGCGTTGTGGCCGAAACGTCGTGAGAATTTTATTTTGTTTTATTTTTACTATTTTATTATTTCCCTTCTGCGTGACTTTGCCGAAAGAACCAAGAATATGAATCTCTGCAGTCACGAAAGCTTAAAATCGAAATTTAGTACGGCATCAGCGGTGTGTTGGAGAGCCAAGCCACAACATTTACAATCTGAGTACGACGTTTCGCCAGTAATTACAACCAGCTTCATCAGGCGACGGCCAGGTCTGGTGTGCTGACGTTCTGTTTACGGGACGACCCTTACTAGTTGGCTGTGTCGGGTGGTGGTGGGTTTAACGACACATTTATATATTTACACGATCCAACCCAAAGAAAACCTGTATTAAGCTTGAATGATGTTAACATGCATGTTTTCTAAATAGCTGTCTTTAAACACTTTTCTGTGAAAATTTGTCGTGAAATATATAAACCTCGTATGATCCCTTTGTTTGCACGAGTCGATTCATAGCTCACATAAAACAAAACCCAACACATTCATTCATAAAACCGTGGCCTTATAAAGGAGATATATGTATAGAACAGGCGACGTTTCGGCCGATGACACTTCTTCATCGCACAAACAATGATATGATGAAGCAGCATTTGTTTAAGCAATCAATCTCATCGTTCTGAGTCCGGGATCTGTTTTCACCAACACACAAAGATCCCCCGTGTAGCCTCAACAGACTGTCGGGGCAAGTGCTGTTGGCGAGCACCTACGAAGGCCGGCACGGCACACGAGGGGGGTGGGTGGGCCAGCACCACGCCCGGCCGCCTTTGTCTCCATACTGGTAATGTTTACACACAGCACCAAGTACTCATTTGAGGCTGAGTTGACCTAAGGGAGGCCCAGGACCGGTTCAAATAATCGTCACTGTGTGTTGGTGGCCGTGAGCGGGAATCGAACTCGGGTAGCTACTATCTACTACTACTAACTACTACTAACTATTGCTGCAGCCATGCAGTCAACATTGGGGGGGACCAAATCTTCCAGGGGGTCCCCCCCCCAGAAAAAATAAATAAATTTGAAAACGAATTTCCTGCCAAAAATATAAAAAAATTCACTAACACATGGGATGGACTTTTCATTTATTTTTTAACAATAATGTCTGAGAGTGTATTGTATTATATTGCTCTGTTTTTACTTTTTTTACCTTTTCTTGTTTCATTGTATGCAATGGCAGAGATTAGGGATTAATAAAGTACAACCATAACCACAATCATATAAACAGAAATCTATTTTATAGCAATATATTGGGGGGGACATTTTGAGCATATTTGAATTTTGGGGGGGATGTGTAATTACGGCCTTGCGATCCACTACGAACTACTACTAACTACTACTATCTACTGCTAATAACTACTACTATCTACTGCTAATAACTACTACTATCTACTGCTAATAACTACTACTAACTACTACTATCTATTGCTACTAACTACTACTATCTACTGCTAATAACTACTACTAACTATTACTATCTACCAGTCGTAGACTTCACGTGCGCGCAGTGCTGCCCGGCCTCGCAATGCGCGTTGCTTCAGCGCCATCTGGAGGAGCAGAGGGGGATTCTTCGACAATGCGCGTGATGGGCAGTGTTGAGTCTATGGGTAGTGTTGAGTCTATGGGTAGTGTTGAGTCTATGGGCAGTGTTGAGTCTATGGGCAGTGTTGAGTCTATGGGTAGTGTTGAGTCTATGGGTAGTGTTGAGTCTATGGGTAGTGTTGAGTCTATGGGCAGTGTTGAGTCTATGGGCAGTGTTGAGTCTATGGGCAGTGTTGAGTCTATGGGCAGTGTTGAGTCTATGGGCAGTGTTGAGTCTATGGGTAGTGTTAGTCTATGGGTAGTGTTGAGTCTATGGGCAGTGTTGAGTCTATGGGTAGTGTTGAGTCTATGGGCAGTGTTGAGTCTATGGGCAGTGTTGAGTCTATGGGTAGTGTTAGTCTATGGGTAGTGTTGAGTCTATGGGTAGTGCTAGTCTATGGGTAGTGTTGAGTCTATGGGTAGTGCTAGTCTATGGGTAGTGTTGAGTCTATGGGTAGTGTTGAGTCTATGGGTAGTGTTGAGTCTATGGGCAGTGTTGAGTCTATGGGCAGTGTTGAGTCTATGGGTAGTGTTGAGTCTATGGGCAGTGTTGAGTCTATGGGCAGTGTTGAGTCTATGGGTAGTGTTAGTCTATGGGTAGTGTTGAGTCTATGGGTAGTGCTAGTCTATGGGTAGTGTTGAGTCTATGGGTAGTGCTAGTCTATGGGTAGTGTTGAGTCTATGGGTAGTGTTGAGTCTATGGGTAGTGTTGAGTCTATGGGCAGTGTTGAGTCTATGGGCAGTGTTGAGTCTATGGGTAGTGTTGAGTCTATGGGTAGTGTTGAGTCTATGGGCAGTGTTGAGTCTATGGGCAGTGTTGAGTCTATGAGTAGTGTTGAGTCGATGGGTAGTGTTGAGTCTATGGGCAGTGCTGAGTCTATGGTGCAGTGTTGAGTCTATGGGCAGTGTTGAGTCTATGGTGCAGTGTTGAGTCTATGGGTAGTGCTGAGTCTATGGGCAGTGCTGAGTCTATGGGCAGTGCTGAGTCTGTGGGCAGTGTTGAGTCTATGGGCAGTGTTGAGTCTATGGGTAGTGTTGAGTCTATGGGCAGTGTTGAGTCTATTGGCAGTGCTGAGTCTATGGTTAGTGTTGAGTCTATGGGTAGTGTTGAGTCTATGGGCAGTGTTGAGTCTATGGGCAGTGTTGAGTCTATGGGTAGTGTTGAGTCTATGGGCAGTGTTGAGTCTATTGGCAGTGCTGAGTCTATGGTTAGTGTTGAGTCTATGGGTAGTGTTGAGTCTATGGGCAGTGTTGAGTCTATTGGCAGTGCTGAGTCTATGGTTAGTGTTGAGTCTATGGGTAGTGTTGAGTCTATGGGTAGTGTTGAGTCTATGGATAGTGTTGAGTCTAT